TTTCAAGGCAGCTTACATAAAAGCATAATTCTGGTGAAATGTAATCACACTAAAGCACGCAATATTGTGGGGGGGGGGGGGGAAAGCCCAACAGAAAAGTAAAGTGATCCCAACAGATGAAGATGTGATTAGAAAAATATTAGAATGTGCAGAACTGGATAAGCTAACACCAACAATTAAGGGAAAGAAAAAAAATGAATATTTTTTGACTTGGGATTTATTTTATCAATGGCTAGCTGACAAAAATTGGAGCTAAAAACAGGAAAATATATGGAAGGATCCGGGATATAGGAAGATATGTTAACTTGGTTAAGCAAATAGTATGTTAATATAATGGATATTAATGCAACGAATATTGCTGTAAACGCTTTATTATTTCCTAAAATGATTTGTACCCAGAGAACACACTGTTCAATTGGAATTGGAATTTTTGCATGCTATAAAATAAAATAATGAAAATCAATACAGTCAAACTGATGTTACTTTGCAGAGCTACAGATACGGAGCCACTGCCAACATGATATGAGCTGAATTTTGTATTTGAGCTAAACTCATGCTTATCCAAAATAATACGCCAATTTAAATATTCATGTTGCTTTTCTCCTTGCATTTCTGACAGATTAATTCTATGTTTTGATTCTTGACACTTTGGATGGCTTTAAGAGCAGTAATCATCACTCTAATTAAAATAACTTATAAAGGTTGCTGAAATAAGTTGCGGAACAGTTTCAAGGGTTGAAAGGAGAACTGGTGCATACCAATTAATAGTTTAAAATTAACCTTTTCCACACATGCAACTATTTTTTAGCTTTCCTAAACTTACAAATATGTACAGAAATCTTTCAAATCAGCCCCGTCATGCAGCTATTATACCTCTCCTAATTTGTATGAATTATATACTAAAAGTCATAAAGTCAACACCCAATGAAAGCAAACTCACAAACACACAAACTGTAAACTTACTATAAACCAGAAAGTAGAGCCAGATATGCTGATTTTTATAAGAGCTGGAAAAACTGATGCTACATACTTTCACCAAAGACTCCACAATCTGCCATGTGTTACTCTTACCTATATTTATAGCAGTGCTTAAAATTGTGAACTTTTTTGAGTTTTCAATATTCCCATATAAATATAACATAAACTGTCACTGGTTTTGCACACAAAACATAAAATTATGCAGCTGAAGAGAACGCAACTGAGCAAACGTGTTTTACATGGAGCTACTGTGTGAGATCTGGGAAATAAAGGCTCATGTGGCCAGCAGCTGCCACCCGAGAGGTCAGGCCAGACTCCTGCCAGCAATGGGAGCAAGAAGATTGAAAGGTCAATTGGGACAATGGAGCCTAGGCAACAGGCAGCCATGAGGGCATAAATGACAGGGGGAAGGAGAGAGACAGGGAGGTGGGGGAGCTGAAACACCCCTGTTAAGTGCGGATGGCTGCCAAGCATCCAGGTTTTGATCACATATCACGGGGGTACTGCAAAGGTGGCAACTTCATAGATTGCTCATGAGTCCCTTAATTCTGTGCCATCATAACATTGAATGAATCCAAGGGATTTATCTTCCGTGGCTCTAAAATTGTTCATGATGATAGTTCTACTCCTGAATTCAAATGCAGGATAATCTTAGGCTGCACTGCAATGGTTAACATGAATAAGATCTGGAAAAGCAATGATATAAATGCAAAAAGCAGGCTAGTTAGAACAATAACCTTCCCTGTAATGATGTATGGGTGTGTGAGAGGTGGCTGATCGAAAAATTGGCAGCTTTGAACGGCGGTGCTGGCGTAAATTATTACATATCATGTAAATAACAGAGAGGTTTTAAATCGTCTAAAACCAGACATGTCAGTAGAAACTAAAATCATAAGACTGTCTGATTTACTTTAGTTATGCCATGCATGCAAAAACATTGGAGAAGGCAATGATGCTAGGAATGCTTACTGGAATAAGAAGGAAGGGCACATGTAGAACACACTGGCGTGATAACCTCAAAAATGAACATTCAACAACTGAAAGAAATTGTGCTTGACAGGATAGCATGGAGAGCACTTGCCTATAAATTTGCCAAGAGTCAGAAAAAATTACAACAACATAACGCTGAACTATCGCTGAGTGAATGGTAAGTCAAGGGTTACCTGTAACTATATTTTAATTAAAATGAATTAGGTTTTTTTTCTTTGCCTCACTCCTTGAGCACCAATAGCAAGAGCAATAGCAGTTAGACTTATATACCGCTTCATAGGGCTTTCAGCCCCCTCTAAGCGGTTTACAGAGTCAGCATATCGCCCCCACAGTCTGGGTCCTCATTTCACCCACCTCGGAAGGATGGAAGNTTATTAAATTGGAACTTTAAGGATAGCTCTGCCTTGGACTCTGATTTAATTCTGCATGATATTTGGAACGCTGACATAATGCTTGTAGCCTTGTCTCTTATGGGGTAAAAGGAGTGAGGAACTGTATGATAGAACTATCTCAGTAACTATCCATCATACCACTTACCCATCCTCAGGGACACCAGGTTCTAAGGTCCGACACTCCCGGGGCTCATGGGACACTTCCAGGTCATCTGCAGGAAACTCAATCAGGTCACTAAGTGGGCCTGGCTCAGCATCTGGCAAGTGAGTGTTAAGGTATTTCTCAAAGTCAACTGGTTCTACCACTTCTGTCAGAGGTAACTGAAGGGCAGGGGAACAAGAAAAGAAAGAAAACAGAGAAAATTACAGGCAAAAAGGAACACAAGATGCAGCAGATTCATTTAAATTACCTAAAAGTCCTGAACCACTCCTATGCCATACTTGATGTGATTAGGATAAGATGAGTCCTTGATTGTTTTGCTCAAATTTAGAACTTTTGAATGCCATAGTTCTCCGCTTACGACACAATTGGGCCAAGAATCTCAGTGATTGAGCAAAAATTATGACTTACTTCCTCTATAGCCAGACACTGATTCATATACTGGCTGTTGTCCCTTAAACAACTCCTCTCTTTTTCAAACAAAACTAACTGATCAACTCTACCCAACTATGATTTTCTCAATAGAAGGTCAAAGTCTATTAGATTTAATACATTATTATAGTTAAAGGTAATAGTTACTGAAGAAAGGTGTGTAAAATTAGCAACTAGTTCTCATTTTTGACCATATATGTATATATCATGCAATTATTTCCTTCCTTTTCTCTTTCAAACACAGTTTACCTTGGTGTTTCACATTAAATGCATACTCCTCGATACACTGTACAAGTTATCTAGTATTTGCTAAAAATCGTTTTGATTTTTAGCAACACAAAATCATCTGCACACAAAATCATATACATATCCATGTCTAATCGCACACAGCTAAAGGCACTACAAACATTTTTATGGGTTTAAAATTTTTATTATTTATTTATTTATATATTTATTTATTGAATTTATAGGCCGCCCAATCCCGAAGGACTTTTATGAATATAAATACATAAGCAAAATACATCACTCATCCTTGTCTTGTTTCTTACACAAGGCTGAATCATTTGCCAAGTATTCTGTTTATTTTCACATGTCAGTCACATATTGCATGCACTGCACCACGTACCACATTCAGAAATCATTCTTCAATTCCATATTAGTGTAAAGCATTCTATTATTCGGGTCTAATAACTGATAATTTTATAGAGGTTTATAGAAGTTATGGATGGGCTTATGAACACAAAGCCGGAAGACGGAGGGATGAAAAATGCCTGGCAATTATAATGTCTGACATGGCATAGAGATCCGATGTTCATCAGTCGTCTTCCGTTAGGATTAGATCCAAGCAGGTTATGAAGAAGATATTAAAGAACATAAAAAATAGCAGCTGTCAGATCCCTAAAAGTGATACTGCCATTCAATTGGGAGGAGGGGGGCCTTGGAGTCGATTTATTAGCAGTGCCTGGGACGACCGATATTTTACAACTGGTTTCCTGGCACCGAAGTGCCTTGAGATCCCCTCACCTTTTGTGGGGAATGTTTATGATGGCCATGTGGGACGGTTCACTTTAATGCCTAACAGAAGATAGCCATGGGAATGTATGTTTATTCGGTTCTCAGGGCAGTTGGTAAAGAAAACATCTTCACACTTGTGTATTGGCTAAACTCTGCATTCTAACTAATGGGAGGGGTCTCTACTGCTTTAATTCTACTTGCATTGCCTAAGATGTTGCTTTGAAGTTAATGGTTTCCTTTCTACTTAATAAAAGGTTCCTTTTGAAATACTCAGTTTCAGGAGTCTTCACTTTCTTACGTTAGGAGAGGCAATCCTTA